AGAATATCTTCAATAGCGACTCCTGTTTTCTCTTGTTCTGGTTGTACGATTTCCAACCAATCGGGGAAATACTCTTGTCGCATACCAATCGTTGCCACGATCTCTTCTTCGCATTCATCAAGGTCTCCTTTCTTCATTTCTCTCTCATCTTGTTCAGGCGATTCTGAGCGCTTTTCTTTTTTCTCGTCTATTCTATCAGCCTCCTTCTCAACGCTGATATCGGAATGGTTGGCATGTTCGGATCCCGACCCTGTACTATCTTGGTTCATCTTGGCAGTTTATTCCTTTCTTGAAACCCTTTATAACCAAACTATGTCAAAAATTCAGACTCCAGTAAACAATATCAGCACCAATGAAACGCGCAATAACTGCGGAATGCAGAAGCTTCCGCAACGTCGCGGAAGAAGTACCGTTTTTTTTTTCAATGTTAGCTGTCTCGCGCTTTTTAGTAACCGTCAATGCGCTTTGTACACTGCTCTGATGTTGAGAGCTCATGCAAGCCCACGCGACACGACCGTCAAGTTATGTGATTAGCTGTACATCCCTTAAAATGTCGTCTTTTATTTATGATCTCTTGATTTTGGTCGTTTTAGACAGAATAATCTTGCTTCATGGTTTAGTTTCGGTATTTCTTAATGACATTTTCTATACTGCTTCGCTGTCTCATTGCTTAGACTTTTTCGACAATGTTAACTGAAACAGTTGTATAATAAACTTAGAATTTAAACTTGTTTAGATAGTCGGTTAGCAGGGCTTCCTAACGAAGATTATTATCACCAGCAATAATGTTTGAAAAGCATTCCAAATTCTAAAGTCCATGCTTTTTATTTGCAAGTAAGTTATTAAGCCAAACCCACGCTTATTCTGCCACGGAAAAACTATTCCAACGGCTAACACCACGATTTAGTGAACAAGCCAAGATTATCTAAAGCTACGGCAACAAAAACGTACCACAACAGAACGAGTTGAATGGCGGTGTTGCTCGTTTAACCACCCAAGATTCAAACCTGTCTCGCAACAAATCAGGTTGTTGCAAGTTGCGTGAATACTGACTTCTGATTGGATAAAATTTCTCATACACGGGAGTTACGTCACTCGCTGCAAAACAAGTTCGCTTTGTGCCGGTAAAACGCGAAACACGTATAGATTTGGTTGCAAAAAGTAGAAGTATTCTCTACTTTCTGCAACAAAAGTTTTTATAACCTGCAACAACCTGAATTATGGCTAGTCAGGCTTGAACGTGGCTAAAAAAAAACGCGTAACATAGCCTTCAACTCTATTTGCACAATGCTGCAAAACAAGTTGCATGTTTCCTTCGCCCGTTTTACCGTACCTTTCCAGAACTCTTTTTTCTAGCTTTTTCCAGACGTTCAGAGTGCGAAGTCAGCCTCATACCTACAGGTGAAAATTACAAACCTTTTGTGGGCAGCACTATAAACAAATAATAGCATGATTTGTACGCGATATTTGGCATAAATACCACTTGTGATATTTCAAAATTGTCTCAACTTTCACTCGTCTAACGGCTCGTGAAACCACGTTTAACAATTTCGAAATACATCACTCGTGGTATTTATGCCAAATATCACTACAAATCTTGCTATTACCTATACATATCTCTTTCCTTCGTACCCAGTATCTGAACGCCTGGAACAGACTTCCTCAGTTATTGCCTTCCTAACTTTGGGTGGATGCTAATAGTACCTTCTTTAACAAAACTATTTCGCAAGTTAAGGTCTCGTTCTTCAACGGAATTAACCGGACAAATCACTCCACCATTCAAGAACATAAGAGCCCTGCAGGGGCCCGTTTCTCGAAAGTCCCGATAACTTTTCGGGCCCGAGAACCTGTCTTATGTTTGCCGTGTTTGCATTTCAATAATCAATAATTTTGAAAATAATTACAATGAAATTATCAGTGAACGAAGGAAAATTGACCGGTTTGTGAGCTAGGAACTTTGCTACTGTTCAGCTGGTCTTGATTTCAAAATTTGCCTTCAGACCCGAAAAGTTATCGGTCTTTTGGAGAAAAGGGCCCCAGTACTCCATGTTCCTCCCTCCTCCATACCTATTCCCCAGCCGGCTTTCACCGTTTCAGTCGTTTTTAAGTTTCCTAGTCCCTGTACGGCGTTTTCCCAGTCCCTATAGGTCAATTCATTTCGGTGAGGTATCCGAGGCGAACGGGTGGGAAACGCCCTCACATTTTCGCTTGGACCACGTGACCCGAAACGCTTTGGCCGCGCGGAATAATGCATCCTCGGAGACCCAGGGGCAGATAGTGGGGACGAGAGAAAGTCTAAACGGGCGGAAAAATGTGGCGCGAAGAAAAGTAAAGAACGGCGAGAAGAGCCCCTGGGGACAATGTCTTACCAGACAAGTTCCAAACGGTCGCCGCCGCTTTGGCTTCTGATTGGTGCCAGAAAAACACAAGTTTTCTGGCACCAATCAGAAGCCAGAACGGCGGCGACCGTTTGGAACTGGTCTGGTAAGACATTGTCCCTAGGGGCTCTTCTCGCCGTTCTTTACTTTTCTTCGTTCCATATATATTTTTCCGCCCGTTTAGACTTTCCCTCGCCCCCTTTATCTGCCCCTGGGTCTCCGAGGATG